ACCTCAAGAAACATAAATTATGAAAATCATATGAGTAGGTAAATCCTTATCTAAATTAAAAGTATTATCTTGTAATTGCAGTATAGTAAGACCAAACACAAATATGACAAAACAAGTTAATCAAATAAATGGTCACTGCAAGTTGCTAGAAGACCTGTTAATGGTGATGGAGAAAGTCAGTGGACAAAGATAGCTTCATTTCTGTAGTGTTCTGGTAAACTAACTGTTTTTGATCGGAAGACAATTACTAAAAAGATGTTTATTTACTTATTTTATTCTTTCATTTAACCAATATTAATTTGAACATTTTGTCAAGTGCGCTCCTATTTTGTGTTAGGACTAGATTGGTGAACAAGCTATGTACCATCCTGATTCCATGGAACTGACATTCTAGAAGAAGACAGATCAATAAGTACATAAGCAAATAAGTATGATGAAATCAGATGGATGTAATTGTGAGAAGAAAATAAAATAGCCTAGAGAGTAACTGTGGAGAGATAAGACCAATTTTGATTGGAAATCAAGTTTGAACTGAGACTTAAATGACAAAAATATACCAGCCACTGGAAGATCTCTGTCTGCTACTCATCTGGACAAAGAGCTAAAGGCCCCAAGGGAGACAGTTGAGCTTGGTGTGTTTGAGAGATGGCAAAAGAACACGCACTTGACTGGATCTTGTAGAACTAGGGAAAGGAAGGGAGAGGAGGGTAAAACACCTGTAGAATCTGGTTGTCCACAATAACAGTTGGACTGTATTCCAAATGCAGTGAAGGATTGTAAATATCAGTGTCAGTCTCTTTTTTATAATTTAAGAACTCTCATATGTGACAGAATATTTTTTCTATACGTGAATTAGGGTCCCTGTTGGTGATACACTCTTGTTGCTTAGTGTAAATATTCAACACTGGCAAAATGCATGCAATTTTTAAAGATTTTATTTATTTTTAGAGAGAGAGGAAGGCAAGGAGAAAGAGAGGGAGAAGAACATCAATGTGTGGTTGCCTCTTGGGCGCACCCCCACTGGGGACCTGGCCTGCAACCCAGGCATGTGCTCTGACAGGGAATTAAACCAGTGACCCTTTGGTTCACAAGGCCCGCACTCAATCCACTGAACTACACCAGCCAGGGCAAAATGCATGCAATTTTTAATGTAATGCGGTTTGTCAGAATACTAGAAGACAGTTAAGACTATTTAGCATATTTTTCTTTTCATGTATTTCCACAAATGTTTTTTTCAGTTCTTTACAGTGAGATATTTCAAGCAAACCATATTCAGTCCATTTGCTTAGTTATAATATCTTTTCTACATAAAATCTTCACACATTATTTTTAAAGGTGTATGTGTGTCTATCTGGCTGACTTCATACTAATCCATTGCTTCTCTAACTAGAAAGAATAGTGATGAAAATGTTTTTCAGTCCAACCACTTAGCCATCAACATTTTTTCATGAAGATAAAATTACATATTTTCCAGAAACATAAACTTTAAATTGACTTTGAGAATTCTTAAATAATTTTTTCTAAAAAGAGATGGATTTCTTCCTTGATTAATGAAAGTTACAGTTGGTTATGCGCATTTGCAATTTTATTTTGGTATAGTGTTTTTCTTTTTTTCATATTTTCTAGACATGAATATCTGCCAAGCAGTAAGTGCTATATTTAAACCCGTGAGAAGTTCAAAAGGTTTTGGAGACAACAAAAGGAATTCTTTTGTATTTCAATATTTGCTGTAATTAACATTTCTGTCTCAGCATTAAAGCTTTCACCTGCTTCTGATTTTCATTTTAGTGGTTGAGGCCATTATTATTGTGCTAAAGGACAATCTAGCTGTTAAAAGTAACATAAGTGAAAATTATAGAGTAATTGGAAGAGATAATTTTCCATTATTAACCATGTCTAAATATTTGTTCTTGTAGTTGACAACAAAAGGTGATCAGCAGGCCAAACCAATGCTTCTTGCAGGCACCACTGGCTGCTGTTGAGTGTTTGGTCTTCAACCGTCATGTGGTCGCACCCCTTTATACATGCTTGAGACAGCATCTTTAATAGAGAGGATAGTCTTTATGCAAGAATTATGGATGCTGCTTCTTTACCTCTACATAGTAAAGAGTATTCTAGCTATATGCTATAACTGATTAACTCGGATCACATAAAGTTGTTTAGTCTTAATATTAAGTGTGCAACTGTGTCCATTGTCTCTTGGAAAAAGAAATTTATTTTCTTATATAGTTTTTAAGGCCCTAACTAAAGGCATAGTTGACCTTTAACAGTAATCACAACATAAGGGATACTTTAGGGACATCTCTGTACTCTCTCTGTCAGGCAAATAGTTTAGAAGCCTTCATATAAAGCCATCTTCCAGAGTATTATTTATTTATAGACTCCGAAGCAAAATAGCATAGATAATATAAGCTGGCTGACAAACTAAAGTTATGGAATATTATCAGTTACAATAGCAGTTACTTATTGGAATTTAGCCATTTTATTAATGAATAGATATTTTTTCTAAGCAATTTTCTGGTCTTTTAGATGGCAGAAAGTTGTAAGCTTGTTAACAACCAAATAAATATCATCAAATATATATCTTGAATAATGATAAATATAACATTTAAATTTATATCTCATTTACGTAGGTACATACACCCTAACCATAAAGAAATAAGTGGTAGTTGATTGTTTCATTTGTAATTATTTGTTTTGCTTGATGTTAACTCTTCAAGAAAGGATATTCTTTTCTCTGATAGTTATGAATATCATAACCTGCTCTGAAAAACTCTTATCATAAGACTCTATTGACAATTTGAAGTCTCAAATAAACATTAGATGTGACCAGATACAGTATTTGGTGTATCCAATTTCCTGAAAATAGTCTGTGGGATTATGCCATAAAATAAGAAACTCGAAATTTAGATTTTACTATTTAAACCCAGGTAACATTTTCTGGGAGGCGAATGGGCATTAAAATAATCAGTCAACTCGATTTAGCCACAATTGCACAGAAATCCATTTTAAACTCAGAGAACTGACAACTTCTCTGAGTCATTTACATTAAACCTACTAGTAAAGTAGTAGGGGAGGTCAGAGTGGGAGGTAATATGTAAAATTGTCAAATCTCAAATTTATCTTTCAAGGCAAACATGGATACACCTTTTGATTTTATATTAAAAAGGATAAATTTCAAACATAGTATTATATATAAAATATAGTATGTATAAAATATAGTAGATTTTAATATAAAATATATAAAGTAGATTTTAATATAAATATAAAAATGTAAAAGTAGATTTTATATAAAATATAGTATATATATAAATTATAGCAGAATTTCAATTCTTTCTACAAATGTTAAATGTTTGTATTGGTTAAAGGCATATACATATATAACAATTTCAGAAATTGCTGAGTGAAAATGGTATTTTATGATATTCTGAATACTTAGATTACAAGTATAAATATATATATATATTTTCCATAATCTTGAATGATAAATTGCCCCTCATTTTATATGTTGTTCATTCAATTAAAAATGCATAACATAAATAATACATAAATTTATATATATGTCAAAATTTTTTCAGAATCTTCTAATCATATTTTATAAACTGATTCTTTGTACTTATTAAGGCAATAATGATACCCCCTTTATCTTTTTTTCTTGTAAAAGAGTCACAAAATGTATTACATCTTCTGAGTCTGTATGACATAAAACTTGATCTATCTGCATAATACAATCAAGTGCCTATTGTGGTCAGTAAAAAATAAATAGCTAGGTATGAGTATCATAATTCCAATTAGTCAAACTTTTGTTTTAAATCAAAGTTATAAATATTTATTTTCATAATACAATTTGGAAAGGAAACTGTAAATACCAGTGTGTATTAAGTCTTAATCTGAGAGAAAATTTTCTGTAAGTATTGTTTAGATTTTAAATCGATATTTGACTGAGTTCTTAAAGTAATTATGTATTAATTTGCACTTGTGATTCATCCTCTAGAAAGTGAATGCGAAACTGAAATGTACTGTAGCCCAGGACAGTGTGGCTCAATTAGCTAGAGCATCATTCAGTAGACCAAAAGGTCATAGGTTCGATTCCTGGGGAGGGCACATACCTCATTTGTAGGTTTGGTCCCTGGTTGGCCCACATGTGAGAGGGAACCTATCAGTGTTTCTCTCTCAGACTGATGTTTCCTTTTCTCTCTCCCTCCCTTCCTCTTCTTTCTAAAATCAGTAGGCATGTCCTTGAATGAGGATTTTTGAAAAAATGCATTAAAGAGAGTTACCATTAATTCCCTAACAATACAAAATTTTAATTGTTTAGTAAGTATTTAGTGCACATCTGTTCAGGGCACATGAATATATTACATCTATGGTAAAGAGAATCAATGAATCTAACCACTGGCATGCTGTAGTTATTTAACCATATACATTATTAGACAGATATATGATGGAAAGGGGTAGTACATGTGTGTAATCTTATAAGCAACTTAAAATATTCTATTTTAATTCTCATATTAAAAGCTTAGAGATTTCTATAAATATTTTCAGGATGATGACAGAAGAAAGGAGTTCTGACTATAATAAAATTATAGTTGAACCATTTATTTTCTATTTGTTTTACACAGTAAAAGAATATTTTATAAATTATTTACATTTTTAAACTTGGGAGGGTTACTAAATCATTTTTTCATCTTTCTGTAAGTTCTTTGGGTACTAATGAAATCTTGCAAAGTATGGTATATCAGGTCTATCTTGAAAAAGTCCAAGCATTGTTAAAATAACGAGTATCATTTACATGACATCAATGTAAGCTGGAAGCCAAGGAGCATGGAATAGAATGTGCATGTGTGGACAATGACAACTTCACTGTACTAGTGACTGGGGCAGTAGATGCCCTTTGAGTGAGCATGTGCATTGTGTGGCCATGCTATTCAAAATAACTAAGCAAGTAGAGCAATGAATCAACATCCAATTTTGAGTTAAGATTGAGCATTCCTCCACAGAAACTATTTGGGTGATTCAGAAGTCCACGGCTATGGGCAACTGGTGACTGGCAGCTTCATCATAACACTGTGCCTCCTCATGCATCGTGTCTCATGCAGAGAATTTTGGTGAAACATCATTTCACTCAGGTGACTCAGCCCAGATTTGGCACCCTGTGACTTTTGGCTTTTCCAAAAACTAAAACCACCCTGTGAAAGGGAAGAGATTTCAGACCATCTATGAAAAATTGAGAAAAATATGGGGAGCTAATGGCAATTGGGAGAACTGTGCCTACTCTAAAGTAGGCAACTGTGCCCAATGCGCCTACTTGAAAGGTAACTGAGATGATGTCCTATGTACAATATTCCTTGTATCTTGTATCTTCTTCAATACAGGCCTCTATTTTCCATTACATGACTGGATACTGTCTGTACAGACCTCACTTGTATAGTATATTGTTAAGAGGAGATGACAAAGTTACTAGAATTTTATATTATTAAAAATAATATAAATTATTTTTATAATAATCTATAAATATATATAAATTGATATATTTGATTTATATATAATATAAATATATACATCAATATATTTTATATATTATATTGACCCATTATAATTAATGGGTCAATTTTTAAAATATATTTAATTGATTATGGTATTGCAGTTGTCCCAATTTCCCCCTTTTGCCCCTTCTGTCCAGTACCTCTGTTCCCTCCAGCAATGCTCCCCCTTAGCTCACGTCTGTGGATCATGCATATAAGTTCTTTGGCTATTCCTTTTTCTATACTGTTCTTAACATCCCCCTGTCTATTTTTTTACTCACAAATATGTACTTTTTAAGTCCCTGCACCTTTCCCCCCATTTTCCCACTTCCCCCTCTCAGCTGATAACCCTCCAAATCTCCATATCTATGATTCTCTTCTTGTGCTGCTTATATGCTTGGTTCATTTTATAGATTCAGTTGTTGATAGCTGTGAGTTTGTTGCCATTTTAATGTTCATAGTTTTGGACTTTTTCTTATTTTCCTTTAATATTTCATATAATAATAGCTTGGCATTGATGAAGTCCTTTAGTTTTTCCTTGTCTTGAAAGCACTTTATCTGTCCTTCCATTCTAAATGATACCTTTGCTGGATAGAGTAATCTAGGTTATATATAGGTCCTTGCTTTTCATCACTTTGAATATTTCTTGCCAGTCCCTTCTAGTCTTCAAAGTTTCTTTTGAGAAATCAGCTGACAGTCTTATGGGAATGCCTTTGTAGGTAACTCTGCTTTTCTCTTGCTGCTTTAAGATTCTTTGTCTCTAACCTTCGGTATTTTAATTATGTGTCTTGGTGTGGTCCTCATGGGTCCAACTTGTTTGGGACTCTGTGCTTCCTTGACTTATATGTCTATTTCCTTTACCAAATTAGGAAAGTTTTCTTTCATTGTTTTTTCAAGTAACTTTTCAGTTTCTTACTCTTCCTTTTCTTCTTCTGGTACCCCTATGATTTGGATGTTGGTGTGTTTGGAAGATACTCCAGAGACTCCTTATTTTATCCTTGTTTTTTTAAAGATTTTATTTATCTTTAGAGGGGAAGGGGAGAGGGAAAGAAATATCAATGTATGGTTGCCTTTCATGGGTCCCCTGCTGGGAACTGGCCTGAAATCCAGGCATATTCCCTGACTGGGAATTGAACCACGATCCTTTGGTTCACGGGCCCACACTCAATCCACTGAGCTACACCAGCGAGGGCTATCCTTGTTTTTGTTTTTTTTTTAATTCTTTTTTCTTCTTCCTATTCTTATTGAATGTTTTTTTTTCTTCCTTATGTTCCAAATTGTTGATTTGATATTAGGCTTTATCCCCTCTGCTGTTAGTTCCCCGTAGATTTTTCTTTATTTCACTTAATGTAACCTTCATTTCTGCCTGGGTCTTTGTTGTGCTGTTGCAGTACCCAGTGAGTTCCTTGAGCATCCTGATAACCAATGTTTTGAGATTTGCATTTGATAGGTTGTTTATCTCCATTTCATTTAGTTCTTTTTCTGGGGTTTTGTTCTGCTCTTTCATGTGAGCCATATTTCTTTGTCTCCTCAATTTGGCAGTCTCCTTGTGTTTGTTTCTGTGTATTAAGTACAGTTGTTTTAACTCCCTGTGTTAGTAACGTGGCCTGTTATAGGAAAGGCACTTGTAAATTGTGTGGGGCAGAACCTTAGGTAATCACCAGGGCTGGACAACCAGTTTTTCTGCTTTGTGGCTTTGTGTTGGGGAGGACTCAGAGAGGGATCAATGCCATTGCCTGGCCTTTGCGGGTTTGCATGGGAGGAAGCTGTTTCCCAGCACTTCCCCTGTTGCCAGTCACATCACTCTCTCCCCATATACCACTTGTACCTTCCAGCTGTTGCCTTGCTACTGATCCTAGAGGGGTTGAGACCTTTGTGGGCCTTTTAAGAGGAGTCTCCTGTGAATCCTGCAGTTTCTTCCCTCACCCCAACCCTTACTGGATTTTACAGCCAGAAGTTATGAGGATTTATCTTGCTGGTGCTGGAACCCTGTGCTGGGTAGTCTGGTCTGAGTCTGGGATCTCTCACTCCTGAGGCATCCGCACAGTTTTTATCCACCACAGATAAATGTAGGACCACCCACTCTCCTGCCTCTCTGCACTTCTCCATGTCTCTGCCCCTCCTACTCTTTGGGTGAATGTGGCTAATTGAAATCCTTGGTTGTCAGACTTCCATACAGCTTGAGTTTCTGATGAACCTGGTGATATTTGTTTTGTAGTCTTGTAAATTTTGCTGTGGTTGTGCAAGGAGGCAAAGCATGTTTACATATGTACACCTCCATTTTTTACCAGAAGTCTGGATCAATTTTTGTTTTATTTTTCTAAAATCCTTGGATCCTAATGAGATATCACATAATATAATACAGTAAGCAACATAATAAAATGAAGTTAAAAATCATAGAAAAGCAATGGCAATTTTCTTATTTCTTTGTAAAGTGATTATTTTAAGAACTATAATATAGGAAGAAATTACTGTCTATTTTCAATTATCAATCAGACTAAATAAACAATGTTAATTATGGGAATAATAAAATGATTAAAACTGCTTTGAGTTCTTAAAGATATAAGGGATATTTTCAAAGAAATTTGATATCACTCACTTATAGTGATTTCGGATTAGCATGACCTTAAATTTATTAGCTAGATACTAATTTTTTCTGTCTTTTGAACTCCATGAGAACTTAAAGCTTTAGTGTATGTAAAGCATGAACTATAGTTTTCTCAAAGACAATTACTCTTTAAATATCCCAAATAATTACTTAGTTTCTCTTGGGTAACTGGAGTCATTATTCAGGGTCCCCTGTTTCTCATAATTAAAAAAAAGTAAAATTTTAGCTGATGAAGTTAACAGTGTTAGGTGCATTGTGTTTTAACATAAAATATTGCACACACATATTTTTATGAGGTAATAAATTCTGTAACTATCCTATGGCTTCTGAAAAACTGCTCAGCAGGTCTGTTTTTAGCCTTTTTCGAAAGTCAGCTTCCTTGAAATTATAATTGACACAAATAAATTGTATCTGTTATTAATTTTATTACTAAAGAAAATGCATTCCCCGGCTGGGTGGCTCAGTTGGTTGGAGTGTCATTCTGTACACCAAAAGATTGTGGCTTGGATTCCCGTCAGGTCACATACCTAGGTTGCAGGTTTGATCCTGGGTCAGGATGCACTCTAGAGGCAACTGATAGGTGCCTCTCGCTCCCTGACTCACTCACTCTCTCTCTCTCTCTCTCTCTCTCTCTCTCTCTCTCTCTCTTTCTCTCTTTCTCTCCCTTCCCCTCTCTCCCCTTCCCTCCCTCCCTCTTTTCTTCTCTCCCTAAAATCAATAAACATATTCTCATGTGAGGAATTAAAAAATGCAAGAAGATCTATGTTTGCTTAAAATATGCTTTTTGAGTAGCATGGGATAAACTTCATGTATAATTAGTTCTTTTTTTTAATTTACTGGGTGACATTGGTTAATAAAGTTATATAGGTTTCATGTGTGCAATTCTATAACACATCATCTGTATGTTGTACAATGTGTTCACCACCCCAAGCCAAGTCTCCTTCCGTCATCATGTATCCCTCCCTTTTCTACTCCCCCAACCCCCTTTCCCTCTCGTTACTACCATACTGCTGTCTGTCTCTATGAGTTTTTGATTTTTGTTTTGGTTGATTTATTTATTTCTTTTGTGTTTAATCCCTTCGCCTTTGCCACCTAACCCTGCAATGCCCCTCTCCTCCAACTGTCAGTCTGTTCTCTATTAATGAGTTTTCTATGTTGTTTGTTAGTTTACTTCATTCATTAGATTCCACACATCAGTGAAATCATATGATACTTGTCTTTCTCTGACAGGCTTATTTCATTTAGCATAATGTTCTCCAGGGACATTCATGCTGTCACAAAGGGTAAGATTTCCTTCTTTTTTACAAAGAAGTAGTATTCCGTTGTGTAAATGTACCATAGCTTTTTTATCCACTCATCCAGTGGTAAGCCCTTGGGCTGCTTCCATATCTTGGCAATTGTAAATAACACTGCAATGAACAAAGGGGTACTTATGTTCTTTTGAATTAGTGTTTCAGGTTTCTTCCGATAAATTCACAGAAGTGGAGCCAGTGGGTCATAAGGCAGTTCCATTTTTAATTTTTGAACTGTCTCCATACTGTTTTCCTCAGCAGCTGCACCAGTCTGCATTCCCACCAACAGTGCAAAAGGGTTCCCTTTTCTCCACATCCTCGCCAACACTCATTGTTTGCTGTTGATTTATGGATGACAGCCATTCTGAAGTCTGTGAGATGATATCTATCTCACTGTGGCTTTAATTTGGATTTCTCTGATGATTAGTGACATTTAGCATCTTTTCATATGGCTATTGGCTATTTATATGTCCTTTTCAGAGAAGTGTCTATTCTGATCCTTTGCCCATTTTTTTAAGTTGGATTATTTGTTTTTTTGGTGTTGAGTTTTATAAGTTCTTCAGAAATTTTTGATATTAACCCATAATCAATGGTCATGTTATTGGTGAATATCTTGTCTCTTTTAGAAGGTTGGCTTTTTGCTTTGTTAATGGTTTCCTTTGCTGTGCAAAAACATTTTAGTTTAGTGTAGTCCCATTGATGTA